ACATGACCTGGCAGTGGACCTAGGAGGTGATGTTTAAAAAGGGGACTGTTATAAAAATTGGGCTAATGTTTTAGTTTTTTAGTATACTAAATAGTTTTTTGGTTCCTCTATTAGAAGGCTTAATCAATTTATTTGTGAGGTCTGTATGTCTCAGACCTCAAAACGGGGACTGTTAAAGAAAAATGATTATTTTTTAGACTTTAATACAGTTAATCTTATGGCATGTGTAAACACTCTCACTTGAACATATTTCTTAATTTTGAACAAGGCTGTGTTAATGATTTAAAACTACTAATGGGTAAGTATTTAGACCACCAGCCCATAGAATGAGTATCTCCTGGGGGGTGAATAACAGTTAAGCCTGCAGGAGAGATTTCTGCTTGGTTTACAGAAGGTCAAAAGTCTTCCAGAATAAACAACCAGGGATGGTGAGGCCCCCCGCATTCCACAAGCTGTCTGTGAGAGCTTATCTTGTGTTTTATGACTTTAAGAATTCTAGATGCCAGGACAAGCTTTCCGCCTTTTCTTGTTAAAACAAAGAAGCAAATGACCCCAGATGTTTGCAGTAAATAAGGGGAAGCCCTAGCAGTGTCAGAGATGGCTTTTGGTTGGAGGACCGAGGGCCAGCCCTTTTTGAATGGATTAGATACAAGAGGATAAAGCTTTCTAAATAGAAGTTACAGATCAGATTTTGCTCTTGCAAACTCTCCAAAGATGTCTTGTACGTCTTTGTTTTCTTTCCTCCTATGTCAGGTAATGGAATGTATGTCTCTGTTGTTCTGCAGTTTCTGGTGTAGGTTTGTGCATTGTCTTATTTCTAAGTTTATGCATTGTCTTATATTGGATTAAACTCTGTAATTCTGTGATGTCAACACGCCTTGCTGATTTTCATATTACCAAACGCAGCTCGCCGGGTGGACCTGGAGAGGGAAGAAAATGAAAAGCCAACCTTTTTCCAAAGTTAACTATGTTAGAATATTTTCTTCCTTCACAGGAGCTCACTGCTCCAAAAATGTGCAGGAGGAGCGAGCTCTGCAAGTCGCAAAATAATCAGAGAGAAATATTCAAAAGCGTCACCAAGGAGAGGTGGATTATTATCACACGTATTGGCTTCAAAAAAATACTTTTCTGAGGAATTTCTAAAGCCCAAATGACAAATGACACCTATTTTATTATTGGAATAAGTATAAATGAGCAATGACTGCACTATAGATCACTGCAGTGCCTCCAAACGTAGATAACCTCATCTAGATCATACTACAACTAACTTTGGGAAAATGTGCTTAACTCTATTTTTTTTTTTTTTAGATTTTTCATTGTTATTATAAGTATATAAAAGCCAATAATTACTTATGAATTAGACAGATTTATATAGTCATTTTGTATACACAGGTGTCAAGAAAAAGAAACAATTTCATATTTTAAAATGCAGCTTTGAAAACAGTAATAAATACATTAAAAATTGTTATATAAACATGTGACTGTATATTTACTGTTACTTTGGGAAGATAGGCCTAATTGTGTTTTTGGAGATTTATTCATTGTTATTATGAGCATATAATAGCCAATGATTACACTATAGATCATTGTAGTGCCTCCAAGCATAGATAACCTCATCTAGATCATACTACAACTCTTTCTTTGGGAAAATGTGCTAGCGTTGTGTTCACTGCACAAAGTATACCTGTCGCAAATGCAGGAAGGACTCACCTTGGGTTTGTAAAAACTGCTAAATTGTAGCTTCATATGTGGAGCTTTTCCTTGGGCAGAATAAATGTTACTGTTATACTGAAATCAGACCGTTTTTCATTCTCTAAGCTGAAATGTTGAATGACATTAAAAGGCGAGAACAGACAAAATACAATTATTCTATGTTTCTTTCACATAGTGAGCTTTGCAATATAAATGAGTCTGTTGGTGAATGAACAATATAAATAGGCTCTGCCTTGCCTTGTTGGAAAAGCATAGTTATGACTTGTTCTCAGCTCAGGAACTAGGACCCGTATGATATCTGGTTGTTCAATAGGTTTCCCTAAATTAAAGATTTAGATCTGACTTATCAAGATATTCCTGCAGAAAGGTCTGATGTTGCAGGAGCAGGTAATGAAAAGTGTTTGGAGCATGCTCTGGTTCTGATGCCAGTTAGTTTCAGCCTTTATCCAGCCTCATGTAGACAGCGGGTTTGTCACATCACAGGTTATTAGCATTACAACAAGGACAGTTAGCAAGGTAGAGTGAATACACTAACTGGAAGAGGAGGGGGGCTGCAGGAAAACTGGAATTCTCTGGGACATCTAGTGCTAATCCCCTGAATGAAAAGAGCTTCTGTCATTCTGACGGCGTGGCGGCGACACCCAGAAGGTGGGGTTAAAGTCCAGGAGGAGCTCCGCATGCAGGAAACGATCAGACCTCCTCCTCCTCCTCTGCCTCACAGACAGAGAGACGGCAGCAGGAGAGCTGCAGATCAAAGGCAGAGACTCTGGAAACGGGTTTTTCTTCTCCGGTCGGTTTTGTTTGTCCGTTTAATGACTGGCTGCTCTTGGTTCCACTCCTCATTCAGGTTTCAGAGCAACGTTTTCTAAAAACCTCGATAAACTAATAAACTCCAGGCTTGGAGGTCTCTGTCAGGTGACTTTTTTTTCAGTTTCCTCTGGAATAAAACTTGGAAGGTCAAATTTACTGGAAAGTTTCTTTTTGTGAATATTTTTTCTTAAGCAGGAGCAGATCCAGTACTGACCTGGAGATGGGCTCATTATCTAGAAAGCAGGGAGGTTTGGGGGGGCAGAAGAAATGAAAGAAGCCAGCAGGTAGAATCTGAGTAAACATGGTTGCTACTGTACACGGTGTGATCAATAGTTATTCATTCATCTAGATCTATATTACATACACTTAGTAAATCATCACTGTGTGTATTATCATAAAGGTTTCTCCTTATGTAGCCTGGTGGATATAGTACAGAAGAGGATTAGGGCCATTGGAAATAAATAAAAAAGTGACTGTTTTTTTGTTGTTATTTGAGTTTAATGTGGGAGAAAACTCAGAATTCTGACTTTTTATCTTAGACTTTGAGATTTAATTGCAGAATTCTGAGACTAAATTGCAGAACTGTGAATTCAATCTCAGAATTCTGACTTTGATCCTAGAATTCTGACTTAGATCTTAGAATTCTGACTTTGATCTTAGAATTCTGAGATTAAATTGCAGAATTTTGAAATGCATCGGCCTTAACAGAGGTGGGTTTACCATTAGGCAATACTAGGCAGCTGCTTAGGGCCCCAAGTTCCTGGGGGCCCCATAAATCTCTGCTTACATGTATGGTTAATACAATTATTCCTTATTTGTGCGCATTAATTATATTTCAATGATCAATATTTCCTGTTTGCTTTAGAGACAGCATGAATAAAGAGAGAGAGGAAAACAACAAGAAGAGAGGGACAAATCTGATCAGGTTCTAGTTCTGATCTGGTTTTGATACTGATCTGGTTGTGATCAGGTTCTGGTTCTGATCTGATTCTGGTTCTGAGCAGGTTCTAGTTGTGATCTGGTTCTGGTTGTGATCTGGTTGTGATCTGGTTCTGATTTGGTTCTGATCTGGTTCTGATCTGGTTCTGATCTGGTTCTGGTTGTGACCAGGTTCTGGTTGTGATCAGGTTCTGGTTCTGATATGGTTCTGGTTGTGATCTGGTTGTGATCTGGTTCTGGTTGTGATCTGGTTCTGATTTGGTTCTGATCTGATTCTGGTTGTGATCTGGTTTTGATTGTGATCTGGTTTTGGTTCTGATCAGGTTCTGATCTGGTTTTGGTTCTGATCTGATTCAAGTTCTGATCTGATTCTGGTTCTGATCAGGTTCTGGTTCTGATCTGGTTTTGGTTCTGATCTGATTCAAGTTCTGAACAGGTTCTGGTTCTGATTTGGTTCTGGTTGTGATCTGGTTCTGGTTCTGATCAGGTTCTGGTTGTGATCTGGTTTTGGTTCTGATCTGGTTTTGGTTCTTATCTGATTCAAGTTCTGATCAGGTTCTGGTTCTGATTTGGTTCTGGTTGTGATCTGATTCTGGTTGTGATCTGGTTCTGATTTGGTTCTGGTTCTGATCAGGTTCTGGTTCTGATCAGGTTCTGATCAGGTTCTGGTTCTGATCAGGTTTTGGTTCTGATCTGATTCTGATCTGATTCTGGTTCTGATCAGGTTCTGGTTCTGATCAGGTTTTGGTTCTGATCTGATTCTGGTTCTGATTTGGTTCTGGTTCTGATCTGATTCTGATCAGGTTCTGGTTCTGATCAGGTTTTGGTTCTGATCTGATTCTGGTTCTGATTTGGTTCTGGTTCTGATCTGATTCTGATCAGGTTCTGGTTCTGATCAGGTTTTGGTTCTGAGCTGATTCTGGTTCTGATCAGGTTCTGGTTCTGATCAGGTTCTGGTTCTGATCTGGTTCTGATCTGGTTTTGGTTCTGATCTGGTTTTGGTTCTGATTCTGGTTCTGATCAGGTTTTGGTTCTGATCTGATTCTGGTTCTGATTTGGTTCTGGTTCTGATCTGATTCTGATCAGGTTCTGGTTCTGATCAGGTTTTGGTTCTGAGCTGATTCTGGTTCTGATCAGGTTCTGATCAGGTTCTGGTTCTGATCTGGTTCTGATCTGGTTTTGGTTCTGATCTGGTTTTGGTTCTGATCAGGTTCTGATTTGGTTCTGGTTGTGATCTGTTTCAGGTTCTGGTTCTGATAAGGTTCTGGTTCTGATCTGGTTCTGATCTAGTTCTGGTTCTGATCAGGTTCTGGTTGTGGACCAGCTGGAGGCTTTGATCCAGGATCCCGCTAGCTAGCATGCTAACACTATCAGAGCGCGAGCAGCCAATAGGAAGCCGGAACTACAGGGTTAATAAAAACCTAATAATGAGTCAAAGTTTTGGGATCAAAGCAGAAACCGGAACAAATTTCACTTTCCTGAAACCTTTAAGCACAGAAATAATAATAATTGTTTTATTGATTTTTCTCCTTTCTTACCTCCACTATCTTGGAGCACTGGGTCCCTTTCCCGGCTCCCGGTCCGCCCAGGACGAAGATCACCTTCGGCTTCATGATCACAGACAGCCGCCTGAAAAGACTCGGAGCTTTCTGACCGAGCAGACGGCCCAACATAAACCAGCAGGCAGCGGGCAGCGGCTCCTCGGTGGCCCGGTGAGTGCGTGTCAGTGAGCGGGTCGCTGGAGGAGGACGGAGCTCCATTTCCGCCTCTCCACCTCAGCAACCAATCAGCTTCCCCGTAGGCTGGTGTGATGCAGGCTCGTGGCCACGCCCCCCAGTGCACTTGTTTTGTTTTTTTGTTTTTTTTTCTTTTCAATGCAGAGGTCGGGTGACGCCCCTCCCCTCCACAGCATCAGCACCTCCAACCCGAACAAGGCGCTCCGCTGCCGGGAGGAAGATGCTCTCCGCTGCGGCCCTGATGAGGAGGCTGCTGCCTGCTTTCCTGCTCCTTTATTCCGCCTCTCTGCCTCCATTCATCATGCACCATTCATGGCTGGATGGAAACCATTAACCCCCCCTCCACCCGGCTCGCCTCTCCTCTCCTCTCCTCTCCTCATATAGGTCAGAGTGATGAAGAACCCGCTTTGGTGTTTCCAGGGCGCCGCGTGAAAATTCAGGGAATATCCGCGCGGAACAAAAGGTGCCCCCCAGCCCTCCCTCCCTCCTCTGACGCACCTGGCCGCCCTGTCGCCACCTGACATGACAGCGCGGAGCCGCGAGCAGCTCAGCAGGATCAAGGGGCACCGACGTGCAGCCGGACGCAAGCAGGAGCGGAAGCAGCAGCAGGAGGAGCAGCCCAGGGGAGGCCGGATTGCAGTTTCTGGGGACGAGCGCCAAGGGCAGTGCGGCAGTCAGCAGACAGACCGGGGGGGAGGAGGCTGCGGAGCAGAGATCTTCCCAGAAACATCTCTCCAAACCCTCTGATCATATGATGATGGATGTTATCCTGTTTGATCTATGGTGACTGTGGCTCTCCCCAATCATCCTCTCTGCTCTTCCTTCCCAACCAATCACTGATGATGTGCAATTAAGAGCTCAGAGCTGCTCGGGTGGAGCCCTGGGGGCGGCGGGGGGGACTGATGAGCGTACTGGCCGGGCATCACTTGGTCCCTTCTCTGCTTCTGCTCCTTGCTTGCACCATGGGCTGCCTTCAGAGCATCGCCTGCAAGCCCCGCATCAGACGGGAGAACATCGTGGTGTACGAGGTGTCCGCCTCCATCGACCAGTGTCCCACCATCATAGAGGAGAACTCGCCCATTGTGCTCCGGTACAAGACGCCCTACTTCAGGGCCTCGGCGGGCGTCGTGATGCCCCCGGTGCCCCGCAACGAGACCTGGGTGGTGGGCTGGATCCAGGCCTGCACCCAGATGGAGTTCTACAACACCTATGGCGATATTGGCATGTAAGAGGGGAAAGACGACGCCCGGCTTCTGGTGGGGCGTCACGCGTCTTTTCCTCACCTTTCTACTTCCTGTCCCGCTGCAGGTCCAGCTGGGAGCTGCCGGAGCTGCGAGAGGGTCGGGTGAAGGCCATCAGTGACTCGGACGGCGTCAGCTACCCTTGGTACGGCAACACAACGGAAACGGTGACCCTGACCGGGCCCACGTCCAAACCGTCTCGACTGACGGTCAGCATGAACGACAACTTCTACCCCAGCGTGACCTGGGCGGTCCCCATCAGCAACAGCAACACCCCTATGCTGACCCACATCACCCGGGACCAGAGCTTCATCACCTGGTTGGTGGCCATGAACTCCGTCACCAAGGTAGAGCCAACGTCTGTTTGTACCTAGACCTTCAGTGGGCACCCCTCAATATATATATATATATATATATATATATATATATATATATACATACCCAACCATCACAGTGTCTCAAGACGTCTCCAGACATATGTGCACATCAAGGTGCCTTAGGACATCCTAAAGGAAAAGTCTGGTCAGCAAGAAATGGATCTATACCTAAAGCTCATAAGTTTTTAATTAATTTAGCGTTAATCAGTTAAAAAATAAAAACAAAAATTTGCGTCGTGATCACTGAGTCTGGGAGCGGCCATTTTTGCCCAAATATAGTAACACCTCACTCCTGACTTCTTCTGGCAGTGACGTCACGGTGTGGTAAGCCTAAAGCTCAGAGGCCTTGGGTGGTCTTTGGCTGGTTCTTGGCTGGTCTTTGGCTGGCTCTTGGCTGGTCTTTGGCTGGCTCTTGGCTGGTCTTTGGCGGGTCTTTCTCTGGTTCTTGGCTGGTCCTTGGCTGGTTCTTGGCTGGTCCTTGGCTGGTTCTTGGCTGGTCTTTGGCTGGCTCTTGGCTGGTCTTTGGCGGGTCTTTCTCTGGTTCTTGGCTGGTCTTTGGCTGGTTCTTGGCTGGTCTTTGGCTGGTTCTTGGCTGGTCTTTGGCTGGCTCTTGGCTGGTCCTTGGCTGGTTCTTGGCTGGTCTTTGGCTGGCTCTTGGCTGGTCCTTGGCTGATCTTTGGCTGGTTCTTGGCTGGTCTTTGGCTGGTCTTTGGCTGGCTCTTGGCTGGTCTTTGGCTGGTCCTTGGCTGGTCCTTGGGTGGTCTTTGGCTGGTCCTTGGCTGGTCTTTGGCTGGCTCTTGGCTGGTCTTTGGCTGGCTCTTGGCTGGTCTTTGGCGGGTCTTTCTCTGGTTCTTGGCTGGTCCTTGGCTGGTTCTTGGCTGGTCTTTGGCTGGTTCTTGGCTGGTCTTTGGCTGGCTCTTGGCTGGTCTTTGGCGGGTCTTTCTCTGGTCTTGGCTGGTTCTTGGCTGGTCTTTGGCTGGTTCTTGGCTGGTCTTTGGCTGGCTCTTGGCTGGTCCTTGGCTGGTTCTTGGCTGGTCTTTGGCTGGCTCTTGGCTGGTCCTTGGCTGATCTTTGGCTGGTTCTTGGCTGGTCTTTGGCTGGTCTTTGGCTGGCTCTTGGCTGGTCCTTGGCTGATCTTTCGCTGGCTCTTGGCTGGTCCTTGGCTGATCTTTGGCTGGTTCTTGGCTGGTCTTTGGCTGGTTCTTGGCTGGTCTTTGGCTGGCTCTTGGCTGGTCCTTGGCTGGTTCTTGGCTGGTCTTTGGCTGGCTCTTGGCTGGTCCTTGGCTGATCTTTGGCTGGTTCTTGGCTGGTCTTTGGCTGGTCTTTGGCTGGCTCTTGGCTGGTCTTTGGCTGGTCCTTGGCTGGTCCTTGGGTGGTCTTTGGCTGGTCCTTGGCTGGTCTTTGGCTGGCTCTTGGCTGGTCTTTGGCTGGCTCTTGGCTGGTCTTTGGCGGGTCTTTCTCTGGTTCTTGGCTGGTCCTTGGCTGGTTCTTGGCTGGTCTTTGGCTGGTTCTTGGCTGGTCTTTGGCTGGCTCTTGGCTGGTCTTTGGCGGGTCTTTCTCTGGTTCTTGGCTGGTCTTTGGCTGGTTCTTGGCTGGTCTTTGGCTGGTTCTTGGCTGGTCTTTGGCTGGCTCTTGGCTGGTCCTTGGCTGGTTCTTGGCTGGTCTTTGGCTGGCTCTTGGCTGGTCTTTGGCGGGTCTTTCTCTGGTTCTTGGCTGGTCTTTGGCTGGTTCTTGGCTGGTCTTTGGCTGGTTCTTGGCTGGTCTTTGGCTGGCTCTTGGCTGGTCCTTGCCTTGTCCTTGGCTGATCTTTGGCTGGCCCTTGCCTTGTCCTTGGCTGATCTTTGGCTGGTCCTTGCCTTGTCCTTGGCTGATCTTTGGCTGGTCCTTGCCTTGTCCTTGGCTGATCTTTGGCTGGTCCTTGCCTTGTCTTTGGCTGGTTCTTGGCTGGTCTTTGGCTGATCTTTGGCTGGCTCTTGGCTGGCCTTTGGCTGGTTCTTGGCTGGTCCTTTGCTGGTCCTTGGCTGGTCCTTGGCTGATCTTCGGCTGGTCCTTGGCTGGTCTTTGGCTGGTCCTTGGCTGGTCTTTGGCTGGTCCTTGGCTGGTTCTTGGCTGATTCTTGGCTGGTTTTTGGCTGGTCTTTGGCTGGCTCTTGGCTGGTATTTGGCTGGTTCTTGGCTGATTCTTGGCTGATCTTTGGCTGGTCCTTGGCTGGTCTTTGGCTGGTCCTTGGCTGGTCTTTGGCTGGTCCTTGGCTGGTTCTTGGCTGATTCTTGGCTGGTTTTAGGCTGGTCTTTGGCTGGCTCTTGGCTGGTATTTGGCTGGTCTTTGGCTGGCTCTTGGCTGGTCCCCTACAATTTCTGTTCAAACATCAATCTTTGTACTAAAATATTCTGTCATCATTTGTGGACATTGAGATCTAAAGAGAAGTGCCATCTCCTGGTCAGACCCTGTAATTCAGTGAAAGGGGGAGTCAGAGTAAAAAGTATGCATGCCCATGAGAAGGCCAGTAGCTGGACGTTGGAGGGGATTTGGCTCCTGTTCGGTGGGGGTTTGACTGGCAGGGGCCATTTTGAATGGCTACTACTGTATAGTTAACCTTACAAGGCCCATGTGCATGGTGGTTGGAATACATAAAAGTGAAAAACAAAGAGTTATTCCACCTTTCTGATTCCTGATCCTCCACGGACGGGTTGGTCGTTGGATCGCCAACTTGAAGAGGGAGGATTTGCCATCGAACTTCTGGCCAGAGAAAAAACCCGTAATATGTAGCCAACATTTGGAAGAAGAATGTTTTCAAGATGACTTGGATAATAGCGCGTTGTGACAAACACCAGATACAGCACTGGGACTTGATCAACAGCCGATACCGCACCGTGACGTCACTAACCAGTAGGTGGCAGTAGTGTTCTTTGACAAACATGGATGCCTCCAGTAAAGCACATTCACATGGAAAATACTCTGAATTAAAAACACTGATCATTTATTGAACAGGATGGAATCATTTCAGATTTAAAGAACTTTCAGAAGTTTGAATTCTGAATATGAGCGACTTTTCCTTTAAGACATGAACCTGCAGAAAATGGGACGCTCTCAAACAGAATTGTGTGTGTTAAAGACATTGAATGTCTTTAGATGTCTTGGCCCTGTGGGAATAAAATGCAATCTGATTGGTTGAAGCAATCGTTCCTCACTAATATTGTTAAGGTAACATCAGCAGCACTGCGGATTCTGAAGGCCCTGGACAGATTTGATTGATATAGCAATTAAATTCTATTCAGTTTATTTCTATAGGTCCAATTCACATCTTAGCTTCATCTGGATTATAGACAGATATAGCTGGGTATCATCAGCATAACAGTGGAAATTAATCCCATGCTGTCTAATAACTCTACCAATTGGGAGCATGTATAAAGTAAAGAGAATTGGTCCTAGCACTGATCCCTGTGGTACTCCACAGGTAACCTTTGAGCGTGTTGAAGATCTATCATTAACATGAACAAACTGAATTCGATCAGATAGATAAGATTTAAACCAGTCTAGTGCTGTTCCTTTAATTCCAACAAAATATTCAAGTCTTTCTAAAAGAATATTATGGTCAACTGTATCAAATGCAGCACTGAGATCCAACAGGACGAGCACAGATACAAGTCCATTATCTGAGGCCATGAGAATATCATTAGTGACTTTCACCAGAGCTGTTTCAGTGCTATGATGAGCTCTAAAGCCAGACTGAAACTCTTCAAAAAGTTCATTATGGTGGAACTGATCGCAAACTTGTTTGGCAACTACTTTCTCAAGAATTTTAGATAAGAAAGGAAGATTGGATATAGGTCTATAATTGACCAAGTCATCTGGGTCAAGAGACGGTTTCTTAAGCAACGACCTTAAAAGCCTTTGGTACATATCCCTGTAACAGAGATCAAAGGGAATGCCTCCTTAAATAACCTGGTTGGAACTGGATCTAACATCCAAGTTTAAGGCTTAGATGAAGACAATAGTTTTGCTAACTCAGAAAGTTCAACTGGATCAAAGCCGTCTAAACCCGGTTCGGATTCCATGACTACCTCAGATGCTGCCCCCCCCTCCAGAGACAAACCAATCGCGGATAGAGGAGTGCTAATAATCTTATAATCCCATAAAATCATTGCTAAGAGCAGGTGGAATGGACGGTTCAACAGAGCTATGGCTCTGGGTAAGTTTGGCAACTGGATTAAAAAGAAATCTAGGATTATTCTTAACCTCCTCTATTAATGAGGAGAAATATGCTGCTCTTGCTTTACAAGCAACACACAGAGGCTGAAATCTGATTGGACAAAAATATAGCAACCAGCTAAATGTAACGGAAGCAGCGCAGCCAAGAGAAATGCTACAAAATGAAAAGTATAGTGGAGAAGTTTCATGAATTTTTTAAATACACATGCACAACCCTTTACCCACTTCAGAGAGGGAACGCCTATAAAACCCGTGCAACTTTCTAAAATTGCTGTTTACATATCACCAGAATGATTGACAGGTTAGGAGGACCACTTATTTTGATGATCCACCCAGAAAAAGAACTTCCTCCACTATACATTTAATAGAACGCATTGTTTGGAATAAATTAATACAGTTGGAAAGAATTTAATTAAAGGTTTAGTTTGTGAATGTATGATAGTGTTTCTGATAGATTTTGACCTTGAAGGTCCTCACAGCCCACCGCTGGTGCTCCCATCTCAGCTTTTTGTGTTTCCAGCTCATGATCCGATAACCCTGCAGAATCTGTTTATGGCATTAGCTCCTCTTGCACTTTCCTCTTTTGGTGTAAAGTTACAAGCAATGATCCAGCCTTCAGATCCCCACAGAAAGCTACTGCGTTTTTCTTTCAGACTCAGTGAGGCTGCTGACTTCTGACATTGTGGTTGAGAACATAAACCTATTATAAGAATATTGTATCAAACTAGCAGAAGAGAGAGGATCCATCATAACCCGCTGAGCTGACGCTGCTTGTTTTCCCAGGAGCGCATCGTGCTGCAGACGGTGCGGTGGAGGATGAGGGTCGACATCGAAGTGGACCCGGACATGCCGCTGGGCTCCAGGGCCTCGCTCGTCGGTCAACCCTACCAGGAGCAGCCGCACATCCTCAACTACCAGGAGCCCATTCCTCCAAACGCGCTGGGAAGACCGAACGCCAACGATGCCCAAGTGCTGATGTGGAGGCCGAGGAGAGGGGCGCCGCTGGTGGTCATACCTCCAAAATAGCAGGGGAGGAATAACTGAACACATGAAAGGATCGGTGCTTCCTTTTCAGCAGAGAGCCGGCGAGGATCAGGCGGTCGCAGCGCCTGCAGCTTTCCTTGGAGCTCCTGATGTCTACAGGGTCGAAGTAGACTGTTCCAAAAAAAGGCCAAAGTGGATGTTACACCTGGAATCGGACACAGCAGTCAGGAACCCCCCCACCCACAGGTCACCATAAAGGACCCTGAGCAACATGGAGGCTTCTCCCGCCCGTCCTGAACTGCATATTTAGCTCTGCCTGCATTTTAGCAAAGTACAAAACCCAATTTTTTTAGATGTGCCACTGAGGTATTAGCCAACAGCAAGAACTGCAACCAGCATCCTTACATAGACCTTATTGCATGACAGTGAGGAGACAAAAAACAAAAAAGGGAAAAAAAACTGTTTTTAAAGAAGTTTAAGAACAATGTTTGTTTTATATCACTTAAAATGCAGAAGATGTTTTAAATTTAAGAGTGATCGGTGCCAACAAAGGCCTTCAGCACAGCCAGTGAAGGATGTATTCAGATTTAGTTCAAGGAATCTAGGTATTCTATGTCTATAGGTTTAAGAAGGAACCCGTGCATCCATCCGATTGTACTGACAGGTTATCCCAGGACACCAAACTCACGGCATATTCTTGCCTCTTTTGTGCAGCTGATGTACTGTATTATTATGAGTTTCAGAGCAAACATGAGCTGGATCTCTTCAATAAAAACATGCCAGACGGGCTTACGTTAAGCACAGCGTAAAAGATGTTGGAGTTCTGCCATATGGCGCATTGACAGCGTAGCTGAAGGCGCCTCAAACCAGCGTGGCTCTAATAATGTTCTGCTTCAGATAGAAGGTCTCATTGATTCTTAACCATTTATAGGGCAACCTACCATCCCAAGATACATGGAGTCCCCCCCCACCCCCCCCCCCCCACCCCCGTCTAGAAGCACAACATCTACATCTAGTCATTCATGCTGAACATGGCTGCACATCTTATTTTAGCATTTGATCAATCCTTGAATGATAGATTACCTACTGGAAATTAAGTTGGAAAAAAAAGTGAACAAGTCAAGAAAAAAAACTGAAACCTAATTGAAGAGCTCTAAAGTAAAGTTAAAAAGTTAATAAGCCTAGTTAACAATTATCAGTTAACAAGTGCCAGTATCAGCATTAATGCCTCTAAGGCCCCCTCCACAGGAAGTCAAACCCTGACCTAAACGCACAAATTCTTCACCAAACCAGCCTCTCATCCATACAAAGCCAGCGTTTCGGGGGTCTGTAAACGATCTTTTTTCTATTCAGCCTTCAGAGTGGGAAGATTTTGAAACGCCGTTTTCGCGTTTCCGTCTTTAAGCTCTAACCGCATTTTTTTTCTTACACGCATGCGTCATAGCGTCGCCTCTAAACACGCATGCGCGACACAGTATCACAACAACAATGGCGCCGTACTGTGTTGAATGGTTGCTGCTAATGCTACTCACCCTGCTGTCGGGCTTACAACAGAATCTTCTTCTTCTGGAATATCTCCAGGAAGAACAGAGCAATATCGACCACATAGTTCAGCACCTGAATTTGACTGAACCACCAAAATGGACCCGCAGGGCAACCATGTATAAATATTAGTGCGCATGCCCAACATTTCGTCGCCTATTTTTGCTTTGGCACCACAGCGCCACTTACAGGCCTGGCATACATTTTGCAGCGTTTTCATGCATTCGTGTGGACGATCACATTTATTTTACGTCTCCGTCTTTACGACAAACGTTCTGGAAAATATTAGCGTATCGTGTTCGCTTTGACTTCGTGTACTCCTAGGGGGTCCATGGAGGTACTGCATGGGGGTCACGAACGTTTCTGTTTATTAGACCTTTTTTATATTCCCTCCTGCAATTTTTTCCACTAATTGAAATGTCTCTAAATCCACATTAACCTGAATCCAACAGACTGCAGTAAACAGATAAATGGAGGCAGAAGATGTCTTTCAGTCATCAATGCTCACATTCAGCGACACACAGGAGCTCTTTCAATCTGGGCACCGTTTCATTCACAACACCTGTCCCATCAACCAGGAAGCAGAAATACTTTAATAATCCCAGGGAGGGATTACTTTAGTTACATTACTCCATCTGTAATAGAGTGACTATAGGACCAGTTTGATAGAACACTATTTCATACAATATATATAATTAGGGGGTCCCTGCTCCATCTCGCCATCAGTTTAAGGTCCTTAGCCTGGAAAACATTAAAGACTCCTGATCTAATGTTATTTTGTACCAAAAGAAAAAAAGTGTTTCTTTCATGAATTTCTTATAGAAGCACTTTTGTTAAATTTCTTAATATATTGGGGCCAGTTGGCGTTTCTTCTTATTACATTAACATTCATTTTTACCATCAAAATATCCATATTTTTTGAATGTTCCAAAGGTAATAATGTCTTATCCTGGATTCCATGAACACTTTTGGCTTGAAAATTCTGATTTTTTTTCAAAGTATTTCACTGAGAGCCCTATAAAGGGTTAATTTTCTTGATCTGATATTAAACCAAGGATGTCCTGTAAGTAGAGCTAAAACAATTAATCAGATCAATGGATTATTGAAGTAATCGTCCACTAACTTAGTAATCAATTAATCATTAACTGGAGTATAGAGACCCTAAAATATGCATTTAGCTGACAGAGTGACCCACTTAGAGCAGGAATTATACAAAGAATGAAAATAAATATATAAACATTTTGCATTTATGATAAAAAAATTATTTTCTGTTTAATTTCATAAAATAAATCTTCTTTAAAGAACCTTTGGATATCCGATTATTAATCGATTAATCAACAGATTAATCATTAATCGATTTGCAAAATAATCATTAGTTGCATCCCTACCTGGAAGCGTCATATTTATTAATGAAAATCAATTAAAAAAGAAAAGACAGTCAGAAAGGGACATCATGTGCTTCTGATCAGGTTTCTTTTTGTCCGTACTTTGCCTTTACGGAGGGCCAGAAGGGCCAGAATCTGAGATACAATAATGCTACGTTCACACCTAAAGCAGCAGAAGCAGCTACTTTACATGCAAAGTCAATGGTTGGCGCGCATCTTGTGGCAGCAAAAGGTCCTGCAGCGCATTTTGAGCAACTGAAGCAGCGCCTCATGAGCTTCTGAGCAGCAAAGATGCTTCAGTCGCGCCTCAGAACTAAACTTGTACAAGCATCAAAATTGAAGCAGCACGCGCGCTTTCGTTGCTCCTGCGGCGTGCGGTCTGAACGTAGCATTAGAGTAAGTTAACAGAAAATAACATCTGAAATTCTTACATAATATGGAGTGAGTTTTGTTCCATTATTGTTGCAAACAAACAAAATAATGTTTTGCAAATGTATATCTGAAAATTAATAAAAAAATTTTTAATACAAAAAGGTTTTAAAAGTAACTTAGTTGTTTTCTCAGATTTAATTTCTTTCAGATTATTATTTGCTTTATTTTTTCAAATTTCTGTTTTTCAGATTGAGCTTTATAAATCACGTTCTCTTCACTTTTCTCTGGAGTGTGTGGCAAAGACGCATTTCTTTTGGTCAATTTTAAGGATTCGTATTAGACATAAAGGGAAGTGAATCTGTCAAACATCATTTGCAAATAGTGCAAATTGTAAAAATTAATCTGAAAAACAGAAATTTGAAAAAATACTATTTGAAAATATAACATCTGAAACAAAAATGTGAAAAATATAATATGAAAAAGAAAAATGTGAGAAAACAGCAAAGGTCTTAGAACCTTTACAAACATTTACAAAATGTGCTCCTTGCTTTCAAATAATGGAACTAAATTCCCTCCATAATGATGCATATTTAAAAATCATTAAAATGTTAAAAAAGGCATTTTGGTTAGTTTGATGTTTAGATATTTAGCAAAAATATCTAATTCGTCATTATGTAATTATCTTGGCAGCATTAATTAATAGAAGCTGTGATTCATTAAATGGAGCCTCTGATTGGCCGTCCTGCCCGCTGAATCTGATTGGCCGTCCTGCTGCACTTACCTCGTTCACTAAACTGTATTTTCTTTTTTGACTCTCCTTAGTTCACCTTTAACCTAATAGTATCTTTGAAATTGTCTCATGTTAGAGATACTTATGGTACAAAATAGCTTGAATGAATAGAATCCTAAGTAGATTACAGGCCATGAATAGAAGTAAATATTTAGCTTTAAGGCCTCGCCTACTGATTATTACCGGGTAAAAAAATAAATAATATCTTGTTACTGTAACATAAAATCAGAAGATTTCTTACTTTTAAAACACGCGTCTCAGTAAATCGTTTTCAAAATAAATGTGTTTCTTTCTGGGATTTAATTAAATTCAATTCAGTTTATTTCTATAGCTCCAATTCACATCATGTCATCTCAGGTCACTTTCCAGTTCACCAGATCATCCAGTCAGATTGATTCAAAGTTTTCTATCTAAGGAAAACCAGCTGATTGCATCGACTCATTGACTCTTCAGTAATCCCTCACACTAAGCATGCTTGTAGCAACAGTGGAGAGGAAAAACTCCCTTTGAACAGGAAGAAACCTCCAGCAGAACCAGGCTCAGTGTGAGCGGCCATCTGCTGAGGCCCACTGGGGTTCAAGGAGACAGAAGCAGACATAGAAAAAGAAGCATAGATACAAAAGGCAACTGTCAACCAGCTCCACAGGCGGCCCCGTCCAGGAAACACACAGCCAGGCAGACGAGCTCCGAGCCAGCTCCCATGTCAGAGGATGAAGAGAGCACATCCAGTTAGTCACAGTCAGAGAAACAGGACTACACTGGAAAACAGGCCAAGCTCCAACATCTAGAAACAAAGGTGTTGATGGCAGCAGCACAGCTGATATTTCTCTCCAGGATGGAGTCACAGCCAAACAGGAACAGACCAGATGAAGCTACTATGAGAAAAAGCAGAGAGAGCAGAACGTTAGAGATTGAACTAACAGATTCTGCAGAGTGGGAGAATAGAGATAGAATGAAGCAGAATGATGAAAAAGGGGTCCCTATGTCCTCCAGCAGTCTAAGCCTATAGCAGCAGAACTATAGAGATAGCTCAGGATAACCTGGACATTTTTTAAGGGGTATGCAGGTGATAAAATAACGGTAACTTGCCCTATAAAGGGGTAAACAAAATATAAAGTTCCCCTCAGAATCTGGTTTTTCAAAAAATGAAGATATACATTTTTAATTACACAATAAAACATTTGAGGTGGAAGAAACCCTTTTCAAAATATATTTAAACCTTTTTTTTGTAACAAAACCTATGAAATATGTGCTAACAGAACATTATCAGTTAAAACCGTCTCATCATCTCTCAGTAACAAATTCACTTTACTGTATTTTTGTAGTTCAGTTCTAGTCGGTTTATTTCTATAGCTCCAGTTCACAGCACATGGTATCTCAAGGCACTTTACTGAGACAATTCAACCAGATGGTCCAGTCAGACTGACCTCTGAATGACTCAGCAGCTTAAGCAGATGGGGAATAAGACATGTAATAATAATAATTTCACACAAGAGCAGTCATATATTATACTTAATTAAAAGTAAAAGGTATAATGCAGTAAAACTACTCCCAGAAGTATTTTTATCAGAAGTTACTTGAGTAAAAGTAACTGATTTATTTATTTACTACCCATCTCTGATTTTATGTTGTAATTAATTTCTTGTTTTTTTATTTATTAATTAAAATCTTTCTATGCTTGTGTCGCCCTTATAAAACGTCCTCCTCTC